CCCCAAAACCCCAAAACCCCAAAACCCCAAAACCCCAAGAAATCCTTTCAAAATTGAAGCTAAAATTTTAAGAATTTTGAGAACACTATAACTCTTATCCAATTAGGAAAGCCATTTAAACATTGAAGGTTTTGGTATGAAGCTTATACTCTCACTGAAAAATTTGAGATTTCAGACCAGATATTGACCGCGGTGGGATATTAGAGATGATGGAAGATGGAGATATATTAATAAGATAAAATTTCAACTCAAGTCAACTTACTTTTGGTACTTTTTTCTTTAAATTATATGAGACTCTCAAATACATTTAGAGGAGCATTTTCAATTAAAGATGGATAAGAGTATTATAATGAGAAACACACAGATTTAGAACTAAACCAATGGCTCCAAAGAATGTAAATCGTACTCTAAATTATTCATTATATAAAATCCTCAAAACTCTACCTTGTTATCTTTCCTGGAATAGTAATGACTGAGACCAGAAGAAATCGTCAGTATTACTTATACCCCAAAGACATTACACTGGACTATAGGGATTATTAGTAACTTTCCTGGAAGGAATTCATAGACTTTATGGTTAGACCAAAATAGTAACTTCCTCATGGCTGTTAAGTTCCCCTAAAATCCCAAAATTCCAATTTCTCTACCAAAAACACCATTAATTATACTTGAGTTTATACAAATCAGTTGCTGAAACTTAAAGAGCGAATAGGTCTCTCAACTGTATCTATAAACCTAATCTGCTAAAAATGGGCTTTAAATTACCAATAACTCTAAAAGGCTAGTATTTTAATTATTTTAGGCATTGGCTAAACTCTCTTTTTAGCTGAATGATTTTTGACGAAATTCAATGACTTTAATGAAAGATTTCTAGTCTTTGTAGCTATCTACTGAGTTTTTTATGATAGCTGACTCTTGTTCATGAAGTAACTCGATGGTTTCATTGCCCTCAAGTGAGAATATGTGTGCGTGTGGATCTAGTGAGATAGCTTGGGGAGATCCTGTCTGATTTGTAGTTTTGGAAGATTTTAGACCTGCTCTGTTTCTTGAAAATTTTAGCATTTTCTCTTTTATATAAGGAGAGCACGATCTTTCTTGTTTCTGTTTGGTACAAGTAGATGAAGTTACTTGAGCTGCTTGGATAGATCTCAACATTATAAGGGCATCTTCATATATCTTAAATTTCCTTCCAGCTAGATCTAGAGACTTATTCCTATTCATTCTAGGAGGGGTGTGTTCAGAGCCTAAATTATCACTAATGAAAACTACCTCGAATCGTTGCTATTTCACTCTTTTTAAGTGCTTTAAGGTATTTTCGTGGGAAAAGGGCATTATTTACGATTTTTTCTTTTATTTTCTGAAATTCCTTTTCATTTCTTGATAGAGAATTTTCTTGACTATAAAATCCATTTTCCTCAATTCGAAGGTTATCAGCTTGATTCAGACCAATCTCCTTAGAGCCATAATGGGATCTTCCTCCTGGGGAAGGCATATCTCTGAAATTTTCAGTGGAAAATCCATTTTCCCAAGCAATTCCAGTCTGAAGATTTTTAGAGCTGTAGAGGCTTCCTATACTATACAGATCAGAGCTGATTGCTTCTTTGTGGCCTGGGTTTTCTGTTGAATATTTTAAGGAAGGACTAATTCTAGAGCGAGGAACTCTCCCAACAATCTTAATTATAAGTCTCAACGTCAAGCAGTCATTTCGAGTAAGTTGGCTCATCAGGATTGAAGTCATATATCTTTGAGATAAGTGGCAATGAATTTTGAGGGAAATCAAATTGATTTTCATCTACTTGCTTCATGACCCTTACTCTCGGAGCATCTAAAATATCGTATGAATGGTACCTCAAGTTGAAGCTTGTTCTTTATCAGCACTGATATACATTCTCTTTGAGTTATTTCTACTGATGCTGTTCTAAAAAATTAGAGTGAGTAAGCTCTCATATCCAAAATTTTCCAAGAAGGAATTAATGACTTGAAATTTACCAAACTTTCTGCATTTATTCTTGAACAGTTTCTTTTGTGCTAGAGTTCAAACTTTAAAATATTCTGATACTAGTAAAAGTGTCTGACTGATTTAATTAAGATCTTTCAAACTAATTTGGGATACAAAGAACACTAGGGTATTATCTAACGGACTTCTTATCCTCATTTGTCAGCCGAAATATGAAACTCTTCATAAATATGGCAGCAATTGATGATATTTTCAGCTGGCTTGTGAATAATTTTGGAAACTTACCTCTCTAGATCGGGTCCTAAATTTCGTTTGCGAAAGAGCTTTCTTAAATATACAAGTTAAGGTTTCTTCCCCTATCCGATGACTCAGGACCCTTCTTAGTTCTATGAAAGGTAACTTGTCCAGGGTGTCTACTAGCTAATGAGCCAATCTCCCGAACAGCTTGTTTGAAATTCTGCTTTGTGATGTGATCAAATGGAGTATCATTTATCACACAGTTTTGGCCGCTTATCCCAAGGACTACGAGATGTTATCCAGGGCTTACCGTTACTACTTTTAAACTTCCCCATTGGATTGGTGGTTATTCGGCATGAAATTTTAGGAATCTGAGCGATGTTCTCTTTCTTAGAAATTTTTCAGAACATCTTCTGGCTCTTGTGCTTTGGAATTTGACTACAAGCCCTTGTCTTTTTACGAAATTTTCTACAAAGTTATGAATTAAAATTACTTTAGAGGGTTAGCAAGCAAGTTAGATTTAATGAGCTTATTCTTGCCCTGAACAATATAGTTTTCCATTTTCAATTTTTATTAAGACCGGAGGGGTTTTGGGGTTTTGGGGTTTTGGGGTTTTGGGG